ATTTGGGCACATCGTTGATATTTTGTCATACTCTATGTAATTTATTTTCCGCATGAAAAGAATAATTAAATATTCATATTAAGACATTTTTGACTTTATTTCTATAAAACCAATTCACAAAATATTATTGCAGTTGAACCCTTCCCATCAAAAAATATAACTAAATCGATTTAATCATTTCAAAATAATTGTCGAAAACCGAAACGAACCTTCTTTTTTAGTCGGTTAGAATAAATAGTACATTAAACAGGAGGTAAGTGTTAGTTCAATAAACAATAAAAAATATTTCATTTTTAATTTACAGCAGAGAGTGAGACATTTTCATATTTCCCTTTTTATGAGACTCATCAGAAGGAAATATTGAAAAATAAATTGGCAGCACTGATAAAATATGGCGGCCATTGACTGAAAGACATTATTAATTAAGAAAATTGGCGGCAATTAGATCAAAATTTCAAAAACATAAATTGCTTTATCAACAGTTGCACTAATGATCAAAAGGTATAATGTTAGTTTGATCTATTGTTCAGATAGTATACTTTGAACTAGAAAACAGTTAAACTAATCTGAAATTACTTGCAATTGCTTTAAGTAAATCTAAATTTTGTAGCAAAACTTTTTGGACACCCCGACACATTTGGTTAGGTTAGGTTTGAACTGTGACCCTCACAATAACAAGGCGCATGGCGCGAGGCGAGCGGTGCCGCGGCAGCGGACGCCGAGGGCTATATCGCTAGCCGCTTTTCAAATCTTTTCCTGCCATTTAATTATGCCAAATAATTATGTGAGTAAGCCGAAAAACATAATTAATTCTTAGCCTCATTATTTACATCTCTATACTACTTCTACAAGTACCTACGAAAGTAGTTTATTAATAAATTGCCATCCATCCGAAGACTAACCTCGGCAAGCGTTGCTTCACCTTGGGGGTCGACTCTCTTTGTGTTATTTAGTAACGGGCTTCTCTGGTACCCAACATGGTTCTAAGATTATGTAGAAAGAACATCTATAAAGATAATATAAAAATCTTGTACCATTTCCTTACCACAGATTGAAATGACTTTAGGACGTCGTAACTCCAAAGATTGATCATAGGTACGTATATTCGCCACTATTGTTCCATTTAGCGCCTTGGTGTTTCGGGTATACATACATGGGCAGCGCCGATTGCTTACCATCAGGTGATCCGTCTGCTCGTTTACCGGCTTATGTTATAAAAAAAAGAAACTAATCAACGGTGCACCACATTTTGCTACTGAGGGGTGGCTCAGGCTCCATACATTTGGTTCGTATTGTCTTTTACAATTTCACATACAGCTAGGCAAAGAAGACTTTGAAATAATTGAGGTATACCTGTACCTGGTACAGTACGACTCAACCGATTTTGATACTTAAATTTTTACAAATTTTTATCGAGTTTATAAAGACGAGAATAATGTTCGGATGATTGATGACACAGAAATTATTATATCTATGGTCCAAGTAAATATTAGTCCAGCTGTAACCGCTTCAAACTTTTTTTGCGAAGCTGTACATTACAAATGGCACCCAGACCTAACAACAATGTGTGGATAGTACAAAGAGTTGATCTGTGTGGAAAATTGAACCTGCTACAAGTTACGCGGCAGCCGATTAGCCAGCCACAACACTAACCGTGCATTTATCGAGGAAGGCTATAGACTATACCAATAGGCGTCGGGCAGCGGGTAAAGCCAGGCGGGAGTAGCCAGTGAGTCATAATGCCAGTGATCGGCACACAAATAGACTATGCAATCGAACTGTCACTTTTGTCCGTTTGGGACCATATTCAACGATGTTCAGTGGTCTGTCGCACATTTCAAATTAAACCACCGGACGGTAGTATCAAATTGACGGTAGGTAGATACAATAGGTGCAGTGACCGTTCGATCGTCTATTTTGCTTTCGGTCGGCAGTGGTCACGATTAGTATCGAGTTCCTTCTAACTTCGCTGAAATATTTATTTTCTAATAGAAGGTTGATGCGATACAAAATACATTATTTTACGAATGTGCGAAATTTAAAAATGTGCGAATTATAACTTGATTCTGAATATAAGTACCTAATGGATCCTACATAAATAGGTATGATTAAGTACCTATAAAGCTTTAAAACAAAATAAAACAATTACACTAATTGAAAAAAGATTAATAAAAATTTTTTTACTCTTTTAAGAATAAAATGAATAACTCTTATAAGAATAAGAATAACACTTACACTTATATTATACTTATCTATGTTTATTTGTTTATTATTACAAAAGGTCTTAATTTATGTATTTACAACTTATAGCCCTTTACAGACATTGCGAATTTGAAGGCTACATAAAATTATAATAAAAACAATTTACAATAAAGTTTCAATATTTATTTATTTATTTATTTATTTATATACATGTACTAAAACTAACACATTTCTTATAAATCTTAGAATCAAAGTTACTACTTATCTAAGACTGTATTATCATGTCACTGATTTGTTCCAAGGTGGTGTTGGGTATCGCGTCCAGAGGTCCAAGTCCAGACCGTCAAGAACATTGTTGTGATTGGAATCGTGTCCATCAGGGTGGCGTACCTGATACACGGAGTATCAAATAGATTTTGCATGTTTTGTTGCACGTGTTTTAGCAAGTATCTGATACTAATTTTAGCAAGTATGTATGTGACTTCAAAAAGGGTCTTTTGAGACGATAAAAAGTACAGACTGGCCCAATTCCTGCAAAAGGAAAACCTCGATTCATGATGAATTCCTTTTTCCAGTGGCTGTCATACAGGACATGTACCGGGATGTCAGTCCAAGTTATAGACGAAAGACGTATCAAATCAGTGTGTTCAGTGAGGATCTAGAGGGCCGAGTGGCCATTAAGAGGCCGAAAGCTTATTGTCATTTAGCGCCCCATCCCCTTCTTTGCTGTGGCTACTGAGATGCTAATAATGATAATGACGATGATTAGTCATAATAATGTAACTTTGCAATTTTAGATGGATTCGATTTAATTTTAACACGCAATTCTAACCATTCAGATTTGCAATGTTTAGGAAAGCATAGAGCCACGAGTAAATAGCTAGAAATAAAGTTTTCATCAACCAACATGTACTTCAGAGTGTCCAAATTATACACATTACTTGTAAATGCTAACATTTTAAACAGATTTTCGAAAGCACTCCTGAATAGATTGTATATCGTAGGACCATATAGCTCGCTATCTTCTTTCAGTAACGATACTATCTTTGGACCTAGGAATGGTGATAATTTGTTATGATTGTCTAGCCAAATATTTTCCGGTTCATCAGGCATGTATACCCATTCTGAAAATTGCGGGAAATCTGAAATTGTTACATTTCTCAATTGAAATGCATTTAATATAGTTTCGTGTTCATCCATTAAATGTATATATTCATTGACAAATTTCCAGCTCGTGATTAGAACGTAGTTTTTGATTATAGGCAAGCCTTTCTGCATAGTTATTAAAATTTCTGCAAATAGTTTTGTAGGTATAGGTATCTTATTCACACTAAAATATACTATAAAATACCAGCTTAAATTATTCAATAGATTCTTAAACTGACGCTTTACATACAAAGACCCTGAATCAGTATGGTTCCAACATTGAAAAGCTTCTTCCATTGCTGGACGTAAAACCTTGTTAAATCTCACAAGTTGATCTTCTTGACTCTTACCACATAAAACGTAACATGCAAATGAGTCTATATACTGACTGTTATACGAACAGAGTTTAGTGCCTGCTGGTGATAGTAGTTTATTTGCGACAAAATCTTCGTCAAGTCTTTCCATTATCTTAGGCGTATATTTTAGTAGTTTGTCTAAATGCGAATCCTTATCGTATGAGTTGGGTGAGGAAGATAAAATATTGTAACTTTTCATGAAAAACTCTCCCTGTACGCTGATGGGAATAATCTTGATGTTAATCAATTTTTTATAAATGCCTACACCTTTTTTTAAACTCGTGTCGTCTAAAAATGAACTTAATAATTTCCAAAGACATTTTTCTTTGAACTCATTTTTAATCTTATAAATTTTATTATATGTGCATAGGAAAATAATAGATTTAATAGAAGGATTCTTTGTAGTGTTCCAAATTTTCGAAAGTATGGTTACCAAATTATTAATCTCAAATTTTAAAAATGCTTGACGTATTCCTAATTTTTGTAATGATACTGGAGCATCCAAAAACTTAAGTAAATTTTCACGACTTTCAATTTCATTCAGATTAAACAGAATAGTATTCAACGAAGGTATAGCGTATTGTAAGTAATCACCTTTGGCATACCATAACACCGTATTTAAAGGAACGAGTGGTCTAGCTACGTGCAAATATTTAGCAATATTTTTCTGTATGCTAATGTCGGCTTGATTAAAGTCACTCCATTGTATTTTAGTTTCAGATGGAACATATTTCTTTGCTAGTTGTACGACTTGATCGATAGGGGATAGCAGGAAAATACCGTTGATTACTGCTTTTTGTCCAGTAGGCTCTTTTAGGCTTTGCATGTAAGCCTCTGTCCAGTGTCGGGCGAGTGAGTCCGGCCAGTAGACGCGCAGCTTCGCGAGCACACGCCGCAGTGAGACCGCGTCGTTAGTTCGCAACGTGTGGATTTGTTTGTCGTGACGCGTCAGCAGCTGTGGCTTGTGCTTCAGAGCGTTCAGACATGTTTCCTCGCACGGAGAGAGTGACAGCGACTCCTCAAACATGTACTTGCGCCATGATTTGTTCACATTGTATAAGCATGACATGTCTGCGGTCCACTCGTTCTCTTCTTTTATTTTAATTAGGTTTTGGATTGTTTCGTAAATGAATGGGTAATCAGATAATTGTTTATTCCAATCTTTCAACAACACCAGCACATTGTACAGTTCGTGCAAAGTTACGTCTAACATGGACTCATTTACTATATTATCAGTTTTAATTTTAGACCATGTCGAATTTAGGATATAAGTGAACAATTTGTTTTTTTGTTCATCGTTTAACGCGTTTCTTATGTTTCGGAAAGTATTAAATGATTGTTTTTGTTCTACTATTTCCGGTACGGGTATATCATGTAATACATTGTATAGGATTATAGCTTCAAGACACTGTTGTACGTTATTATCCGATTCGACGTACACTTCCATACTATGAAACAATTGATTCAAATAATTCCAGGTTTCAACGTCGAATTTATGAGCAGATACACTCGACAACAGAGCGTTAACGAACTGAATCTTATAATTGTAGGGTTCGTTGATGTGTTTTTCAAAATAATATTTAAGTAATGACTTGATATGCTCAGGGCATTTTCTTGCGCTACTAATTAAAACTATGAGGATGGAACACCGATCCGCAGGTAAGTTTTGCTGACGAATTATATTTTTTAATTCAGATAATGCTACGTCAAATGGAAGAAATTCATACCACTGATAGGTATGTCTTCTCTTTAAAAAACTTTGTATCTCTTTAGCAAATAATACTTTTAAATCATTTTTATCGATCAAAGTTTTCTTAACGAATTCAAATCTATCTTCTTGGTCCATATGGTTGAGAAAGCATCGCCATGTGTCTATACTGTAAAAACTGTATTGCGTTGCTTTGCAGAGAAAAGTTTTAATTTCATTTTTCGGCAAATATTTCACAAAAGTAGATATGTCAAGGTATCCATGGTACCTATCAAAATTGTCTAAGACTTTTTGTGGGAATTTTTCCATTATGATTTTTGTTTTCTTTTTACCTAATTCTGGCATGTAATTATGTTTCTGGTCATCAATCATGTTAATCACGGCTTCAGTGTGCGATTTCAACAGGAATAAAAGTTCTTGTTTTATATTACGACAACGAGGTTCAGCATGTGTATAGTATGAAAGAAATCCAACAGATCGCTTGCACAAACGTTTGAAAACCCATACTGGTACATGGCGTCCGTTTTTAATGACATTTTCGATAAAAGGTACGGAACAGTTCTGCAACCATCTACAGGCGCTATCTGTATCTTTAAAGTGTTCATAGAAGACTTCGACTCGACTTTCATCTTTCAGATTGAGTCTGATGTGAAGCATAAGTTTGTTAAATGCTTTGGTGGTCATGTAAGGTTTTAGTTGTGTGTGTAGGTACTCAGGGTTGATGATGTTTGCGTACTGCGGGTCGGTGATTAGCCACGTGGACTTTTTAATAGCTGTCGCCGCATACAGCATGTCTTTGGATTTCATTACTTCGATGACGTAGTCTACATTTCTGGCTTTACACGCGATTTCTATCTTCAGCAGGTTGTCTATGTCGCTGACTGTTTCATTAATTGGGGTTAGTTCATAATGCTCGCTAACGGACGTATCCGTGACAAGTTTATTGAAGTGCCGGCGCTTTTTGCTGACTGTGTCTCCTTCTAGCGTTAACGGCGACATGATGGACAACTGTAATTAAAAGAAATACATTTAGGTAATCACTGTCTCTAAACAATTGGTAGTAGTTAATAAATAAATGTTGGGAACGTGGCAGGGGCGTGCACAGGTTTTTGAGACAGGGTAGGCAACTAAATATTGTATGATCAAACGGGCGTACAATCACATTCACTTAAGACAAATGTACATAATACATTTCGAAAAGTTCGTTCAAGAATGTTGTGGTTTATTCTTTCGCCAATTACATACATGAAGTACTTCATCAGCTATCGAATAAGTCAACAAAACTTACAAACAATGAAGCATGCATTTATTATACAGTAGGTAATGAAGCACAAATTGGATGAACCAAATTCAATTATCAAATTGTTAAGTTTGATCGATCTATTCAAAATTATATTATATTACGATTTCAAGAACGTAGGTATATATGTCATCAAACAAAAATATAACAAGCGCGGGTTATTAAATTACATAATTATTAATAAGAAATCAGTACATCCCGAAGTCTAAGTTGATATTTTAGTTAGTTAGTTAGAGTTATCAAACAAAAAACAATAATTTATTTGTGTGTGCACAACACAAGTTTTGCAACTACACAGCTAGATAAAAGACCCATATAGTACATATTTACATTACCTACCTTTTACTTGGGTCAATTCTTGTAACTCGAGTACACACCTGCCTATGGTCATTATCTGAGTCTAGTCATTAAAGGGCAATTGCGAAAACTTACTGTTTTAACTTTCAACATCCACATGAAATTACCTATTATCAACACAAACTACACAATCGAATAATAATAATAGGTACTTGTACTAGACACTGATAAACAACTACATAAACTAGTTGAAAAACCTACTCATAATTATATTTATGTACTTCTACACATATTTGCGCAACTTTATGTTTAAAACTAATTTCTAATAAGTAATTTAAACGAAAACATAAACAAAGCGATCGCACATCACATGACAACAATATGGCCGAAAATATTGGAAATGAATGAAGTCATTACCAATAGTAGTCAATTGAGTGTTCATTATAAAAAAAATATAGTTAAAAGGCAACTCAGGGGGCCTCCCACAACGTCTTATAGCAGTCTAATTATAATCTTACTTTGTAGTATCGTACCACACCATCTTAAAATAACTTTATAAAGAGTTCTAAAACAATCTTACTTTTTTAGCAGTTTTGGTGACGTCAACTAGGTACGTATCGTTCGTTCAAACCGTACCATGAGGTGTTTTATGACGCTTAGCAATGTTGTTTTTACGTCAAATGTATCTTAGATATAAAGTGAGTAAAACGGCCCAAATTAAGTAAAATTGCAATATTATATATATGCTCACCCCCTATTACATGGGACTCATAACATAAATAGTGGAAAGTGGGTGTTAAATTGTACAGTGGCATTACGTATCGTAATGTGCACCTCTGTCTACCCCTTCGGGGATAAAAGGCGTAATGTTATGTAACATTTGTGACAAAATAAGTAAAGATTTATCGTCGTGACGGAAGTAATTACATACAACACTAACAGTATCAAAAAGTATTTAATGTCCCAATATACCCCTTTTATATTTAATTGAATATACAATTTAATTTTTCATTTCTAGGTGTTCATTTTAACAGACTTCAAAAAAAAGGAGGAGGTTCTCAAGTCGACTGTATTTTTTTTATGTTTGTTACTCGATTACTCGAAGACGTCTGGAGCGATTTCAAATATTCTTTTTTTATTAGAAAGTGTAGGCTTGTCATTTGGTCCCATTTTCATCAAATCAGGATCTGACGATGGAATCCGAGGGAAACTTTAAAAAATTATAGGAGCGACTAGTGCATTTGATTAATTTTTCATTAAGTATTTAAAACCACTACAATCTGACGAATGTCTGGAGACGATCTGATGATGGAGCTGAGAGCCAGTCGAGGGAACTCCTCAATGGTTAATAATAGCTACCTTGTGTTTGGGTTTGATTAACTCGTCGAATACCGGTTTTATAGACACAATTAAAGAACAATAGGTCGCGGTCACCGGTGACCGCTTGGTGTTTGACAGATTAATTTGTAATGATGAGGACTTTATACCTAGGTGGGATGTGATTAACAATAAGGGTCTGATGATGAAGTAGTATGATAGTTGAGGGAACTCCTCAGCGGTTACCCGTAGCTACCTTGTGTTTGGGTTTGATTAATTTGTATTGATGAGTACTTTATACATAGGTGAGGTGTGGTTGTCACTAAATCTCTAATGATGAATGGATGAAGTAGTATGATAGCTAAGAAAACAATGGTTAACAGTAGCTACCTGGTGTTTGAGCTTGAATAATGTGTATTAATGAAAACTTTGCACCGATGTGGGTTGTATATAATGTTTGTTGAAGTGTCGGCGCTTTACGCAGAGTGTGGCTCATTCTAGTGTTAATGGAGGTATTGCTCCGTACTGTAAACATAAAATAACGTATGTCAAGGATTCGGTTTATTATTTAAACTGACTGCCGTGCGTGCCGTTAAGTTATCGATTGCTTAGTACAAGTTTGTTTTACGTTTACGCTCCAATGAACCAACCAGAGTGCCGAACGCGGTCTCGTTTCGATTACTTTATTCGTAAAACAATGGCAAAACCCCCTTAACTCGTCGAGTACCGGTTTTATAGACACAATTAAAGAACAATAGGTCGCGGTCACCGGTGACCGCTTGGTGTTTGACAGTTTAAGAAACCATTTTCTATGGTCATCCTGGTTGCATTTTGCTTCCTTATTATCCATCAATATAATAACGCTTTCAGGGTGCTGATGGGGTTGCCCCGTTTTTGTAGTGCCTCGGGAATGTTTGCAGAAGCCCGCGTAGATTGCTTTTATACAGTAATGCGTAAGAGATGCACATCCCTAGTGCGGAGGGTGAGGGGTAGCAACAACAGCATCCTGAAAATGATATCTGGCCGACTGGATTGCGCAATAGTAAATAGATGTTGTCGACTCTCCGCGGGACTTGCGCCGTAATTATAGTAATATTGTATAATGACATTTTAGTTAAATTAAATTAAATATTATAATTAATGGCATGATTTTGCGTTGTCCTGTCTGTATCTATTTTTGTATATTGTATATTCTTGTATATTGACCTATTAAATCATATATATAATGTGTACTAACATTCGTTTTTAAGTTCAATGTTACTAACAAGAATATGGACATGGTCTGCAATAAATGATTATTATATTATTATTATCATCAAGTCATGGCAACATAAGAGGGATTTATTAAGAGATTTCAAAAAAGCAGGTTCTCATTGACCTGTCTGTATGTATTTCGAAGTGAAATGTTTTCGTTGTAATTTGATTTTTACTTCGATGCGCTACGAACTGGCCCTTAGTATAAATAAAATGTCATTTAATGGTTAATAGTTGTAATAACGCAAAAACAGTTACAGCTTTAGTTCTAAAAATGTCGCTATAATAGATTGATAAATTTATTACATAGGTACATAGGTTTACTACTATCTCAGACTACATATCAGGGCCTCTAGCCAAAAGCCACTTTAGCGCTTGTCTACAGTGAGAGTAGAAATCAAAATGTATGGGGATGACACTGACAAGTGTCAAAATTTACGTCAATTCCATATAATTTGGTTTTCTACTCTACATGTAGACAAGCGCTAAATGGCATTTGGCTACAGCTGCTGATCAGACTATACATCTATTTCAGTATAAACGTCAATTTAGAATTAAGTTGAAGGCATGGCTAATTAAAAAGGTTTTTATAGTATTAAGGA